TCCCACATATCACATATTTAAACATGAATATAATTTAGTGAAAACTTCCTAATTATAATTGTTCCTCATATGAAATGGGGAAGAAAAAGTGAAATACCTCTAATACTTTACATGTAAGGGCAGATCCACTATTTGTAATAAGGAAATGGCTGATAAAGGAGAAATTGTTACTTATGCGATGTATTTATATGATGGCATTTTAATATATACAAATATATTAGTGAATATATTGTCTTAATGATAGAGTGCATAAACATTACTTAATTACCCAATTAATTGTGAGATAAACTTTAATTACATCTGCACATTTGCTATTGTTTCTATTAATCTTAAGATATTATGTCACATTATAAGCAATGACAAGGAGAAAGAAATCATTTTAAGAAGCTATTAATATTTTATGCAGTTACAATTATTATTTTTTAATGATGGACTTTATTACATTTTACTGCATTTCCAGTGTTTTTAAGTAAGTGGTATGTGTAAATGTATGTGTTAATATCATATAGGTACAGATAAAACTCTTGCCATTACCTTCAACTGGGAAATAGCACATCATAGGGTGACAACCTTTGAACCAAGGTACCTCAAATGGGCTAAATTACAGGATCCATTACTCCTCAGGAAATGAAATTTGGCCAAGTTGTGGCTGCTTTGATACTACTACTAAGCTCCTCATTTTTGGTATTGCTTGACAATTTCCTGGCCATTCACACAATCCTTTACTGTCTCCTCCACTAAGAAGCCACTTCTTACCTACTGCTGGGAAGGAAGGAAAGGGGAGGGATGAAGGTTTCTAGTGCTCACTGTCAACTTGCCATAAGGAATTCCAATTTCTGACAGAAATTTGAAAGTTGCCTATCTCACTGATTTATTTATTTTTTTGGCCAACCATGGTTGTTATGTTCTTCTGTTTAGGTAAGAAATATATGTGAAACAATCACCCAACAAGCCTTAGGATGTCTACTTTTCTTCTAATAATCTGGAGAGAATTCGGAAAAGGTGGACTTCAGAAATTGGACTTTGAGCATCACGCTATTGTTATCAGTTTGGAAACTGGAAAAAGAGTTATTCCAGATGCTGCTTTCTGCTATCTGTAATCTATATATTACACATGCACACAGAGATAACATGGATAGATCCCTCTTTAAAGCAGCTTGCCTCCTGATATCGGGAGTATCCTAACCCTCCCTGTTTGGTATCTGAAGACATATTGTTTTCAGGAAAACATTTGGGGAGAAAGAAAATTGACTTATACTCATTAAGTGGCACAGAGATGTTAATTGTTATGATACTGGTTTTAATTCTGTATTTGCTTGATGTAAAACTACTAATAGACCCATAAACATTTGAACATTGTATGCTCCATGCTGTAGTTATATGACTATAAATATAACAAAGTTACAAATGCAAATATTGGAAATATATGTGTACTATAAATGTAAAGGTTCCCCTCGCTAGTTGTTCCCGACTCTAGGCGGTGGTGCTCATCTCTGTTTCAAAGCCAAAGAGCCAGCACTGTCCAAAGATGTCTCCGTAGTCATGTGACCGGCATGACTAAACACCAAAAGCGCACAGAATGCTGTTACCTTCCCACCAAAGGTGGTTCCTATTTTTCTACTTGCATTTTTACGTGCTTTCNTGAACATCAAGAAATGAATATGTAGAATTGTTGGAAAACTGACAACAGTACCCATGCAGTCTAGTGGTGAAATTCAATTTTTTTTTACTACCGGTTCTGTGGGTGTGGTGTGGCTTGGTGGGTGCAGCTTGGTGGGCATGGCAGGGGAAGGATACTGCAAAATCTCTATTCCCACCCTACTCAGTTTCCGCTACCGTTCTCCAGAACCTGCTGGATTTCACCCCTGCCATGCATACCAAAGTATAGGAGGTAGTAAAGATCACCTAATCCCCCACCTGGTATTTTCCAATGAGGCTGTTGTTTTCAGGATTTCCAGCCAGAATGTTAAGAGTATAATTTCTGATTTCTGACACATAGAGGGTAGTGATCTGGGGGGCTCGGGATTAAAGCTTCTGTTTGTTTAATCCAACATCTATTTTGTAATCTGGTAAAAGAATCAGATTTTGATTCTGTTTGATACAACGTCACTACAACATATGTTACAAATACCGTAGTTTTGCACTGTGAAAATTGTATGTCTTTCATATTAAATAATGCATATAGAACTGATAGGAAGGTTTCGTTTTAAGAATTTTAGAAGGTAAATCAGTGGTTGGTTTGTTCTGTACGGTATCATGGCAGATGGTGACCTATAAGACCAGCAAACTGCTCATGTTTCCTATTAAAGAAAAAGCTGCATAATCAAGTACTCAAGACCAAAAAAATCTAGTCCTTTGATCTTCATATTCCACCTAAGGGTGAACAATATGGGTTTTGTTACTGGCCCTTGATCATACTCTAGGAAGCTGTGGGTTCTGTATTATTTTCCTGTTATGCAGAAACATGCTGCCTGATCATGTGTAACTCAACAAAGGATCCAGTTATACCATAATGAGCTTTGAAGATGGAGATGCAAACAACTTGTGATTTTACAAGGAAGTGGAAATCTTACCATGTTTTTCTACAGGAATGTTTAAGTGGCAGGGCAGGTAGAACAGGTTTCAGCACTGGCACACATGTTTCTCAATTGTGGAGGGACCACTGGGGAATAGCCAGCCTGAGCAAATACTCTGAGGGCCCCTTTGAGAAACCAGAAATAGCTTTTAAATGAGTAGTTTACACAGAACATTTTATTGCTGTACAAAAGTGAGGAGGGTAGTATTTTTCATAATAAAAGTATTATTTCCTCATGAAATGGCTAATAGATAAGGAAATAAAAGGTTTTAATGCACAATTAGATGTTGAGATTACAGCCCTCCCAGACTTTGGGAGGGGTGAATGAAAATCTTAAACATCAATGGTCACAGGAACCATAATTTAAGATAGAGTAAACGGTTAATGTTTTGCTTTGTCTTTAATTTGCAATTACGTTATATGATTTAAATTATATGCTATTCAAAAAGTCTTCCTTAGCTTCCCTTTGTGATTAAGGCTCATGAGTTAACGTAGATTGTACAAACAGATTACTAATATGAAAAAATGTGGGTTTATATATATTCTACCTTTGAGCAATAACTGGGTTGTTTCTAAGCTATTGCCTATATGTTTTATTAACAATTCATGAAATAGGCACTGATCCATATTTCTGCATTTTTAGAAGGCATAATTACACACTTTTACAAAGCTGGAGATAGATGTACATATTCTTCCTCCCATTTTATCCTTTACAATAAAATGTAAGGGTATTATCATATATAAATTGTGTTTGCCATTGGCTTTCTTTTGTGTAGTTGTTATCAATATCCAATCTACAAAAGAGATCTTTACTATCCACAGTGCACTGTACTTTTCAATTTCACAGGTTAAAGTTTTAGATGCATTTTCATGATTATACTACTATAGAAAATGGGGTTAGGTTGCCATTGGTAAAATAATCTGAGAATGAATTCAAAGTCTGATCTATACCCCACATATTTACATTATACATTTTGAAAATTGATCTTAATTGCAGAGAACTATGCATATGAAAATATATGTAATATAAATATCTGTTCAGATTAAGGAGCATAGTTTGAAGGAGAGAGGAGAGAACCAATGGTGGGTTCCTCTCCACGTCGCTACCGGTACGCTGCACATGGGCTGGGCATCCTGTTTGTGCATGCACGCACGCACACTCCATTGCCCCTGTGAGTCCCAGCTGCTTGTCGGAGGTTGCGCAGGCACCGCACACTATGTGTGCGTGCACAGTTAGCCAGTTGCTTTAAAAACAGGTATGGAATGCGGATGGGTGGGTGGGCCAAACGAGCCACCGTACCAGTACAGTTGCAGCTGCTCCCGGCTACTACCGGTACGGCCACATCGGTCCGCACCGGCCAGAACCCACCACTGGAGAGAACCATTAACAAAAAGATGACTAGGAAAAGATTTAAGTCTGGGACATATATAAAATTTGCATAAATGTCTCAGTCTGTTATCCTAACCGTAAGTTTAACCCTGCAAGGTAGACAAGACTAAGAAACTATAAAGGTCAGTACTATTTTTTACTGACAGACCTTGTTTAGCAATCGCAAATGGGACAGGCAGCTCTGTCACTAAGTGCTGTGGTTGCTAAGTGGAAAAATAATATGGCCACAAAGGCCTTACAACATAACTTCTCATTCTGTTGTTAAGTGAGACATCATCTCATTTAACAATTTGTGGTTCTACTTCTGTGTTCAGCATTAAATCTGCTTTAGGAAGCCAGTTAGGAAGCATGAATAGCAATAACATAACTGTGGGATGCTGCAGATAGAGATACAAGGATTGGTTGCAAAGCTAGGGTTTTTATTTTTTTAGGTAGGTTTCAATTGTTGCTAAATAAGACAGTCTATAAGCAAGATCTACCCGCATTGTAACAAAATCTTGCAAGTCTGAATGTGCTTTCCACACCCTCAATTTATCTTCATGTGAATTAGGGTTTGCCTGAGTCATTTCTTCACATAATTTATTGGAGATTATCTATCATTGCCTTGATAGCAGTTCTTATTCTTCAAGGCAATTCCTTCCATCCTTTGCCAGATAGTTGTCCCTAATTCACATGGGAATAAGGAAGAGGAAAGTACAATCAGATTTTCAGGATTATAGTCCATATAAGTAAAAGTAGTCTATTAATTCTATAAGAACATGAAGGTTACATGTGTTAAAGCATGTTCTTCACGATTTTCTCTGACTGCATGATGATCTAAGAAATATTGGGGAAATTAAAGATAAAACCAAAAATATTGACAGATCCCCTATTTTATGTCAGCTGACAACTGTTAACATTTTCACATCTCCAAAACTATTTTTCCTTGTTTTCCTTTTTCTTAATTGCCCAGATGACTAAATGCAAGAAGTCTGATCATCCATTTTTTTTTTAAAAGATTACTATTTTCTTTTCTATCTTTGTTTCATGTCCTAGAACCTGCTTTCTATTTTGGTGACACTGACTATTATGTTGCTGAGAGTGCTGGTTATGTAGAAGTTCGTGTTTGGAGAACTGGAACGGACTTGTCTAAATCGGCCACTGTCACGGTGCGTTCCAGGAAAACTGAACCAGTGTCTGCAGAAGGTGAATTGTTTCATCTGTATTACTAATATATCTGCTCAATAATCTCTCACCAAATATTTTGTCCTATGATGATAACATTTAGGGCTTCATATGTAAGAGTTATATATTGTTCATAAACTAAACAGGTGCATAGAAAAGTACCATATATGGTGAGCAACATTCCAGCAGCCCCAATATTTAATGAATTCATTGTTCCAATATTTTGTAATTCATTCCATGGAATTGTTTGAATAATGCTCAGTAGAATGATTCTCTCTTATTTTGTTGACACAGTCACATTCTTGGATTATCTAATTAAATTATATGCTGCAGCACTAGTCTTAAAGAAAAAAATGCATTTCAAACTTTGAAATAAAATTTAATTCCCTGGACGTTGCTCATTCCAATTTTTATGTGTTTCGGTTAAGTTTAGAAATTTCTTGAAATAATCTCACAGTAGAAATGAAAACAAGATAAGGCCAGTGATGGTTTTCCTGTGACGAAAAAGTGCTTTAATTTGTCCAAGTTAATAAAACTCAGATTTTGAGTTTGTAGCCTTTTAATTAATCTCTCTGGAACAGTTTTCTAAAAGGAATAGAAAGTTTAATTGTCCTATGTTTAGCCGTCCAAGATACATGAAAAAGGCATTTTAAAATCTATATAAACTGCCATTTGAATCATATGAATATTATTGCACACATAATAACATTTTGTCTCTTCTCTTCTTGTAGCTGGAGTTGATTATGTTGGCATAAGCCAAAACATGGATTTTGCTCCTGGTGTAAACATGCAGACTTTTCGTGCTACTATTTTGGATGATCTAGGACAACCTGTTCTTGAAGGCCCAGAAAAGTTTGAACTCGTTCTCCAGATGCCAGTGAATGCAGTGCTTGGAAAGCCAAGCAAAGCTACTATCATCATAAATGATACCATCACTGATTGTAAGAATTGCAAATTGTTTTCTATAAATCGAGACAAAATATTTTTCTAGTAGAACTAGAAGACAACAGGAATAGGTGCATACCAGAGAGTGCTGAAGCTGAATTTTGAAAATAGAACCTGTATTTTTTTAAAAATGGAAATTATAATTAGGAATCCTGAATTTTAAACAAATACTTCCTTCCTTCCTACCTGGTTACCAGTGGTGGATTTCAATTTTTTTAGAACCTCTTCTGTAGGTGTGGCCTGCTTTGTGGGAGTGGCTTGCCGGCCATGTGACCGGGTGGGAGTGGCTTGCCAGCCATGTGACTGGGTGGGCATGGGCAACTTGTAAAATGTGGTGAAACTCACTTAACAACGCTCTTGCTTAGCAACCAAAATGTTGGCTCGGAAAATCTGGCATTGAANAGAAGCTGGGACAAGTAACAGGAGCTCACTCCGTTACGCGGCGCTAGGGATTTGAACTGCTGAACTGCCGACCTTCTGTTCGATAAGCTTAGTGTCTTAGCCAGTGAGCCACTGCAACCTTTTAAATGTGTATTATACATACAAAAAAAAATATTGTAAATGCAATACATATTCACTGTCATTTATTTTCTTTTTCTTTAAGGGACCGCCACTGGGACAATTCCTTCTACAGTCTTGTCATATTCTGACTACATATCTCGCCCTGATGACCATACCAGTTTAATTCGCTTTCATAAGGATGAGAAGGAGAAAATATGCCGGGTCATAATTATTGATGATTCACTTTATGAGGAAGATGAAATTTTTAATGTCACTTTAAGTATGCCATTGGGTGGAAAAATTGGAGCTGAATTTTCCAGTACTAATGTCATCATTTTAGCTGATACAAATGATCGTGAGTAGAAAGAATAATGATAGACATCTTTTCAAAGTTTATAATATTCAATGCATTTGTTTAAGTTTTGGTCCCTCAATACTTACCCCCTCATTTTCCCTCCATTAAATTTAAAGGAGGATTAACAACAACTGACTTTCACTTCAATCATATAACTGGCTGTTCAGGTCTTGATCCCATTAGTTACTTCTTGTATTTATCTACACAGTCATTATCTCTCTATCTCTATCTTCTCTATCTCTTATCATCTCTCTCTATCTCTCCCTCTAACTCAATCTTTTCTCTCTTGTCTATCTATCATTTATCCCTACATATGTACCTTAGATTACAGAATCATGTTTTCAATCATAAGTTATAGCTTAACTTGTATATGTGTTCTATCTGGACATTTTGTTGCACTTTTAGATGTGATGGGTTATTTTTATTTTATTTGGATATTTAGTTTCTGTTGAGGTCTAATATTTTTTATCCATTGTTTCAGCTTTTAGTTTAAATTGAAAAAAAAATATGTTTCTTGGAAAGTTGAACATTTGAGACAGAACTAACTCTCAAATTATTACTTAAAAGCAAAATGAGTTCAATCTGGACTAAGAGAAACACACACTGTTGCACAAGAATATTTGATTCATGCAACAATACAGTTTTCTTCAACTTTGTGACTAAAATTTGATTTGGTTCCCAAATTCTTCAAAGCAGATTTTTAGAGATGTTTGTCAGCCAAAGTTGTTTGTGCTACTGGCAGAGATGCTATATTAGATTCTCAGAGGCTTGTTATATTTAAATATCTTTGAAGTAAAACTTCAGTCTTCATTAAAGGGGGGGGGGCAACAACAACTGACTCTCACTACAATTATATAGCTGTCTGCTCAGAACTGTGATCTGCATCTATATTAGTGCTAAGCACCTATCCTTGAAAATAAAACCTACTTCAATTGCTTTGTTCTACAAATTCTATTTCTAATTTATTCTTTTTAATGTATGCATTTGCTATATAAATCCAAAAGCAATACAGATGTAATATTTTAATTTTTTAGAAAATGCATTGCTTACATCAACAGCCCCCAACTTTTTGGGCACCAGGGACTGGTTCCATGGAGAGAGATTTTTCCATGGACAGGATGTGTTTTCACAGGCTACCTGCATCCCATTGATGGGGCTTCACTTGTTTGTGAGGCCTGGTTTGTGGCATGCCCTGGCTCGGTGCCAGTCCACAGACCTGTGTGGTTGGGGACCCCTGGCTTATGATTATGCAGTGGAAAACAAATTCTACTGCATAATCATAGTAGTATAGTAGTAGTATAGTAGCAGCAGCTGCATCAATAATAGTAGTATCCTTCTTCATTTCCTCACCTCATTTTTCTCAAAGAATGACAGCATGTTTTATATACAATATCTATCACTGGCCTATTACCAGCATCTGACTCTGCCCACAGCTGTATATAATTGCATCTATTCACTTCAGATACTCAGCAACTCTCCTGAAAATGAAAATTTGACTTGTTCAGTAATAAATATGATGAGGCTGTCTGACCTAACAATACATGAGAAAGCTTTAATTGCTTTTACATGTTTATGATATGCTGGCTTCATTCTTTCTAGAAATGCAATAATTCCTGTCAGAAGTTGGGAGTTAGAGGGAAAGGAAATCATAAATGGGTTTCTTCAGTGGAAGATGGTAAAGACTGGAAAAAAGAGACCTCAAGAGAGTGGAGTTGGTTATGCTTCTTTATTAAACAGAGCCAGTATAAAGTGCATTGCACTTTTCACTTGCATGGCATCCCTCTTACTTTGTGCTGTTCTTGCCAATAAGAAAGGAGGATAAAGAGAGAATTAAGCAATTGTAAAAATCAGAGAGCTATTTTCTTTCCCAGATTTTAAAGGCCAGAAGAGGAGAATACTTCCTGGAGGGAAAAAAATCTTCTCCATTTGGCAACAAAAGATGAACCGTCTTCCATGCTGTGTACTTGTCTCAAAACTAATGGCATTAATGGGCCCAACAATCAGAGTTTCCAGTGTCCTTCTTATCTCAACTTGATTTGGCGTCAGGAAACCTGCCTGTCTCGGTGCTCACAGAACTGTATTTCGTTCTTAAGTAAAGTAGTTCAGACGATCAGTTGTAACATTCAAAGAGAAGCTTCTCATAAAAGTGTAGAACATTGTGTTTTAGGAGTACATTTCCTAAGCTGCTACCTACTTAAATATTTGGGGAGCCGGGAGGTTACCTGGAAATGCCTTAGCAAGTAGCAGATCTTTCTGCTCTTGTTTGGTTTCAGACGTTAAGCAGAGTTAGGTCTGGTTGGTATTTCAGTGGAAGACAATTGGGGGATACCATAAGGCATGGTAAACTGAGAAGTTAAAAACATTCTAGAAAAAGGCAGCAGTCTTCTACATAATAGCTAAGAAAATTATAGACTGAACCCATTTAATTAGCAGAAGTGAAGCTCAATTTGAGAACATTATAACCTTCAGCATTTCTGGAGTTGGAATTCTTAAGTCAGGCCAGTGGAAGATAATTTTTTTTGAAAAAAAACCACCTCTATTATGGCACTATTATAGACTTATATACCGCTTCATAGTGCTTTACAATCCTCTGTAACTGATTTGTAAAGTCAGCATATTGCCCCCAACAAATTGGGTCCTCACTTTACCAACCTCAGAAGGATGGAAGACTGAGTCAACTTTGAGCCTGTTGTAGTCTTCAAAAGAGCCAGTCAGGATCGTGAGTAGAATTAGCCTGCAATACTGAATTTGTGAAATATCTACAAGACCAGTTACAGTAATGATTAAATCTCAGCTAAATATATATGTTAAGATCAGAGGTGTTATTCAGTCGGTCCTCTATGATTTGGGCGAACCAGTAGTGGTGGCTGCAGGAGGCTCCACCTACCCACCCCAAAGTAATGCACAACCTTCTGCGCATGCACTCACATTTGCAAACTGGTAGGGAAGGGAAGTAAATCCCACCACTGGTTAAGATCCAGCTAAATGGACACAGAGGGATGCTTGTGAATATGGTGGTATTGCAGCTAGACTTCATTTACTCATGTCGGAAAGAACAGTCTCATTTCTGCAACCCAAAGAAAGACAGAAGAGAAGCTTTCGAGTGCTTCATTTCATTCTGTACAGTAAATGACACACTCCTGCCAGGCTTCACCATATTTGCAGCTGAGCATGTGTTAAGAATGTTGGCTATTCCACAGGGAGTCTGTACAGTATGTGTCTTTACATGGCCATTTGGAAGGGAAATTTGATTTGGGGTTGGGTAGATGGACAGGCAACACTTCTCAAGCTTCTTGGGAAAAAGTTGCAAGCACCTATGAGTGGAACAAAATTCAGATGGCTTCCTATCACATTTTTTAAGAGAGAAAATTTATTTAGTCAATTTGGAACTTTTCTTAAACATAGCTCAGTTCTTTTCCTAATCTATTTCTACTTCTTTATTGCCAGTATGATGCAGCAGACATCCCTGAGAACAAGTAAAGAAGAGATTTTTACACATTAGTACAAGATGTTAGGGTACCATCTCCTGTGCTACTACAGGGCCTGAATCAGCAAAGATACCATCTGTCATAGAAAAGGATGATAGAATACATTGTTCCCCTTTCATGCTTTAAGTGCATATTGCATGAATTTGTCTAATGATCTTCAAACAATCTATTTCAATAAAGGGGGCATCTGAAAGCAAAGATATCAATTTGTTAAATGTAAAACCCTTTCGCAACTTGCTACAACTTGCAATAAGTGAAATAATAGCATGTTAGCATTTCTTTCAAATGTATTGCATGCTGCTATTAGATGCAATGGGAGAGGGGGGAAGCGACAACTGCAAACTATGCCAACAGTTATGCATCAGGACTAGGATACTGGAGCATTATATGGAGAGGGACAAGTGTTGTCTTGAGTCCAATAACTAGTGTAAGGAAAGCATTTCTGCCAGTGAGAAAATGGCTTGTCAACAATTCTGGTAAATTACCGCAATAGAAAGGGAAATATCAGTGTGTCTTTTCACAGTAATAAATTGGCCAGAAGCACAAATAAGTTAACTCACCTTCCCAAGTCAAATAATATTCTAAATTGCTGCAAAACCCTAGAGAAGAAGACATTTCAAAATGAGGTTTCATATGATTGAGAAACCTTTTCCAACCTGATGTCTTTGAAACGTGTTGAGTTTCAATTCCATAGTCTTCAGTCAGATATTAGTCATGCTGATTGGAAGTAATGGAAACTGAAGTTAAGACAACAGAGAGAATCAAGGTGGGGATGAATGAGCCAGATGATATAACAAAGGGGACAGTTATTTAAATCCTACATCTTTTGTAAAAAATTTGAAAGACATTGCTTTGGGCACCTTGTAGGCTACTACAATAACTGGACATTCCTTATTTAGAAGTGTTGGGAGAGCCTGACTTTCTTGGACTAATTGGCTGCCATTTTATGAAGAAATGAATTCTGTTAGTGAACATCAAGAAATGAATATGTAGAATTGTTGGAAAACTGACAACAGTACCCATGCAGTCTAGTGGTGAAATTCAATTTTTTTTTACTACCGGTTCTGTGGGTGTGGTGTGGCTTGGTGGGTGCAGCTTGGTGGGCATGGCAGGGGAAGGATACTGCAAAATCTCTATTCCCACCCTACTCAGTTTCCGCTACCGTTCTCCAGAACCTGCTGGATTTCACCCCTGCCATGCATACCAAAGTATAGGAGGTAGTAAAGATCACCTAATCCCCCACCTGGTATTTTCCAATGAGGCTGTTGTTTTCAGGATTTCCAGCCAGAATGTTAAGAGTATAATTTCTGATTTCTGACACATAGAGGGTAGTGATCTGGGGGGCTCGGGATTAAAGCTTCTGTTTGTTTAATCCAACATCTATTTTGTAATCTGGTAAAAGAATCAGATTTTGATTCTGTTTGATACAACGTCACTACAACATATGTTACAAATACCGTAGTTTTGCACTGTGAAAATTGTATGTCTTTCATATTAAATAATGCATATAGAACTGATAGGAAGGTTTCGTTTTAAGAATTTTAGAAGGTAAATCAGTGGTTGGTTTGTTCTGTACGGTATCATGGCAGATGGTGACCTATAAGACCAGCAAACTGCTCATGTTTCCTATTAAAGAAAAAGCTGCATAATCAAGTACTCAAGACCAAAAAAATCTAGTCCTTTGATCTTCATATTCCACCTAAGGGTGAACAATATGGGTTTTGTTACTGGCCCTTGATCATACTCTAGGAAGCTGTGGGTTCTGTATTATTTTCCTGTTATGCAGAAACATGCTGCCTGATCATGTGTAACTCAACAAAGGATCCAGTTATACCATAATGAGCTTTGAAGATGGAGATGCAAACAACTTGTGATTTTACAAGGAAGTGGAAATCTTACCATGTTTTTCTACAGGAATGTTTAAGTGGCAGGGCAGGTAGAACAGGTTTCAGCACTGGCACACATGTTTCTCAATTGTGGAGGGACCACTGGGGAATAGCCAGCCTGAGCAAATACTCTGAGGGCCCCTTTGAGAAACCAGAAATAGCTTTTAAATGAGTAGTTTACACAGAACATTTTATTGCTGTACAAAAGTGAGGAGGGTAGTATTTTTCATAATAAAAGTATTATTTCCTCATGAAATGGCTAATAGATAAGGAAATAAAAGGTTTTAATGCACAATTAGATGTTGAGATTACAGCCCTCCCAGACTTTGGGAGGGGTGAATGAAAATCTTAAACATCAATGGTCACAGGAACCATAATTTAAGATAGAGTAAACGGTTAATGTTTTGCTTTGTCTTTAATTTGCAATTACGTTATATGATTTAAATTATATGCTATTCAAAAAGTCTTCCTTAGCTTCCCTTTGTGATTAAGGCTCATGAGTTAACGTAGATTGTACAAACAGATTACTAATATGAAAAAATGTGGGTTTATATATATTCTACCTTTGAGCAATAACTGGGTTGTTTCTAAGCTATTGCCTATATGTTTTATTAACAATTCATGAAATAGGCACTGATCCATATTTCTGCATTTTTAGAAGGCATAATTACACACTTTTACAAAGCTGGAGATAGATGTACATATTCTTCCTCCCATTTTATCCTTTACAATAAAATGTAAGGGTATTATCATATATAAATTGTGTTTGCCATTGGCTTTCTTTTGTGTAGTTGTTATCAATATCCAATCTACAAAAGAGATCTTTACTATCCACAGTGCACTGTACTTTTCAATTTCACAGGTTAAAGTTTTAGATGCATTTTCATGATTATACTACTATAGAAAATGGGGTTAGGTTGCCATTGGTAAAATAATCTGAGAATGAATTCAAAGTCTGATCTATACCCCACATATTTACATTATACATTTTGAAAATTGATCTTAATTGCAGAGAACTATGCATATGAAAATATATGTAATATAAATATCTGTTCAGATTAAGGAGCATAGTTTGAAGGAGAGAGGAGAGAACCAATGGTGGGTTCCTCTCCACGTCGCTACCGGTACGCTGCACATGGGCTGGGCATCCTGTTTGTGCATGCACGCACGCACACTCCATTGCCCCTGTGAGTCCCAGCTGCTTGTCGGAGGTTGCGCAGGCACCGCACACTATGTGTGCGTGCACAGTTAGCCAGTTGCTTTAAAAACAGGTATGGAATGCGGATGGGTGGGTGGGCCAAACGAGCCACCGTACCAGTACAGTTGCAGCTGCTCCCGGCTACTACCGGTACGGCCACATCGGTCCGCACCGGCCAGAACCCACCACTGGAGAGAACCATTAACAAAAAGATGACTAGGAAAAGATTTAAGTCTGGGACATATATAAAATTTGCATAAATGTCTCAGTCTGTTATCCTAACCGTAAGTTTAACCCTGCAAGGTAGACAAGACTAAGAAACTATAAAGGTCAGTACTATTTTTTACTGACAGACCTTGTTTAGCAATCGCAAATGGGACAGGCAGCTCTGTCACTAAGTGCTGTGGTTGCTAAGTGGAAAAATAATATGGCCACAAAGGCCTTACAACATAACTTCTCATTCTGTTGTTAAGTGAGACATCATCTCATTTAACAATTTGTGGTTCTACTTCTGTGTTCAGCATTAAATCTGCTTTAGGAAGCCAGTTAGGAAGCATGAATAGCAATAACATAACTGTGGGATGCTGCAGATAGAGATACAAGGATTGGTTGCAAAGCTAGGGTTTTTATTTTTTTAGGTAGGTTTCAATTGTTGCTAAATAAGACAGTCTATAAGCAAGATCTACCCGCATTGTAACAAAATCTTGCAAGTCTGAATGTGCTTTCCACACCCTCAATTTATCTTCATGTGAATTAGGGTTTGCCTGAGTCATTTCTTCACATAATTTATTGGAGATTATCTATCATTGCCTTGATAGCAGTTCTTATTCTTCAAGGCAATTCCTTCCATCCTTTGCCAGATAGTTGTCCCTAATTCACATGGGAATAAGGAAGAGGAAAGTACAATCAGATTTTCAGGATTATAGTCCATATAAGTAAAAGTAGTCTATTAATTCTATAAGAACATGAAGGTTACATGTGTTAAAGCATGTTCTTCACGATTTTCTCTGACTGCATGATGATCTAAGAAATATTGGGGAAATTAAAGATAAAACCAAAAATATTGACAGATCCCCTATTTTATGTCAGCTGACAACTGTTAACATTTTCACATCTCCAAAACTATTTTTCCTTGTTTTCCTTTTTCTTAATTGCCCAGATGACTAAATGCAAGAAGTCTGATCATCCATTTTTTTTTTAAAAAAAGATTACTATTTTCTTTTCTATCTTTGTTTCATGTCCTAGAACCTGCTTTCTATTTTGGTGACACTGACTATTATGTTGCTGAGAGTGCTGGTTATGTAGAAGTTCG